TCATCACCTCCCTGTGTCTGTGGTAAATAAGCACAAGTTTCTTCTGTAACTTCTGAATTAAAGCAGTTTCCTGGCCTGTGCTGCGTCACAGCTCAGTGCTCTCCTGGATATCTGGGTGGCACAGCGCATATTTTGGGATGTTTTGCATCAATTAAAGGCAGATCCCTTTTCTCAATGGGACTTTCTAAGCTATTCCCCCTGTGACATCATGCTTCTCTGCTCCCACAGCCACAAAGGCATTTATTGATAGGCATGACATTTTCCTTTAATGCTTTCATTGTTTCCAGAGGTTTATTTGGGTTGCTGTTGGAAGTCAGAAAAACAAGACAAAAGGCAAAGTATGTTAAGAGGGAGACTTGGCCTGCATGCAAGTATGTGGTGAGAGAAAATCTCTGGGGCAATTTTTAGGGAATCTGCTTTCCACAGGCTTCTCCACAGTGACAAATGAGTGTCATCCAAGCCCCCTGGAACTGCCACCTCCTTCCAGCAATGCTTGGGCTTGGTGCACTGTGCAGGGATCTGGCACGGGGATTTTAGAGCACTTCTGCAGATGTATCTGGCTGTCTTGCTCTTCTTCCCTATTTGCCTCTTCAGATACTTTTTTTTTCCCTGAGAATTACCCACAGCACTTCCAGTGAGTTGTTGTCCTGAACGATGTGTTAGTTTATAGATAGATAAACTGGCTGTTACATATTTCATTAAATATTCCTTAAGAGTTGCTTTGTGTCTAAGGGAGTTTGCAGATATCCATATAGACCCCTCTTAAAAGTTAATTTGTCTGGCAGTCTGGACAAAACAATACTCTAAAGGTTAATAAGCATGAAATGAATGGCTTGGTAAGCCTGGGCTAAATGATCATTTGGAGGAGGGAGCAGCTACTACTCTGTTACACACTGCTGCTGCTAAACCTCAGCAAATCTGCCAAGTGAGGAAGAGCCCAGAAGAGAGGAACCCTCTGGGTTTTTCCCCTCACTAGCCTCTGTCTTTGGTCCCATGTACTGCTTGAACTGCTTGACAGACCTGTGGGCTCTGCTGGGACTTGCTCTCAGAGGACCCCTGTGGGGTTTTTTAAAAATCTTTTATTACTTATATGGGAGTGTTCCTGTTGTTTGGGTTCTTCTTTTCTGGTTTTTATTTTTATGTTGTTCATTTGGGGGTTTTTGTTTGGGGGTTTTTGGTAGTGATGGTGGGTTTGGGTTTTTCCCTACAAATTAAGGCACAGTTGAGATGTGACATGTGAGTACCATGAGGTCTTGCCAGTGCAGTCTCTGGTGAGGAGACTGCAGAGTATGACTCCTGTTCAGCCAGGCTGGCCAGAAGCCAAGAGCCACTTAAGGTGCTGGGAAAACCACCAAAAGTCTTCTGGGGCTTTGCTTTGCTCTTTTCTTTAAATGTGAGGGGGTTCTCCTGCTTTATTTCTTTGGTTGTTTCTTCTTTCCTTTTATGAAAAATGCATCTGAGCTGCCTCCTGCCCTGTTGGTCCCAGCTGAGATGGAAGCAGGTGAGTGCCTCCCCACGTGCCTGCTGCAGAGAAATCGCCTGTTGCTGTGGAGGAGAGAGTGTGCAGGTGGTGACTGGAGGTGACCCACTGCTCTGGGGCTCCTTCCACCCCTCGTCAGCTCCTGACACTGAGGAGCTTGCTGACCTTTTCTGGCTCTCACTGGCCGTGCTTGGCTGACAGATTTTCAAGTACCAAACATCCCACTGATGCCTGAGCTCCTGCAGAGACCAGGGCGGTGACAACAGGGGGTCAGTCCCTGTGACATAATCACCCACTGCAGAAATCTGCAGAATATTTATAACTTCCAAACCTTTCCCTCCCCTGCAAGATTGACTCAGAAGTTAAATCAAATGTGTGGCTGTGCAGAATCCCCTGTGCTTTACAAGGACCATCAAACCTGTGTCCATGTAGAGCTCCCTGTGCTTTACAAGGACCATTTACTCAGACTGAGATGCTGCTGCAAAGGACAAGTTATTTTTGCCAGTAACCAGCACCAACCAGTCAGCCCATTGTTACCTGACTCTGTGGTGTTTATCAGGTGTAGATAGTGTTTTCTTGAGTTCAGCACACACCAGCACAGGGCCAAGATTGGAGGAAGTAACATGCCAGAAAGTGGGAGAGAGGGTTGGTGTGAGAGTGGGAGATGTGAGGGGAAGACCTGACAGCAAGGTGAGGTAAGGCCAGGTCAGGCCATGGCCTTCCTTAAAACGGCCTTTGTCACCTGGCAGCAGCAATCCTACAAGCCCTTTATATTTAATTCTTCCATTGAATTACTTTCAGCAAACAGAAGTGAACCAAAACAACCCTGGCTTTTGCCCCGGGTTTGGCTCGGGGAGCTGGCTCCACTCTGGCAGGCCTCCAGGAGGGCAGCTTGTGTCTGCGCCTGCACGTGTGCTCCAGGGCTCCTCGCTGAGCCCACAGAGGTCTGGGGATGCTTTAATCTCACCTCTTGGCCCCAGGTTCCTATGCATCATCAGCTGTGTGCTGTGTCCAGGCAGAGCAGCCTGTCTGAGGGCTGGGTAATGACCAAGGAGGGTGCCTGGGGCTCCCGTCCTGCCCTGCCACTCTGTAGCAGGTTGGAGGAGCCCTCAAAGCTGTCCCATCTCCTGTCCTGGAGCATCTGACCCCAGGAAGGTTCTTCAGACTTGCCAGTCCCAAGTCACAGCTCAGGTCTGAGCCTCCAGGGCCTGAGAGTTGTACCTCGCCTGAGACCAGAGGTTTCTGGTTCCTGGCCAAGAGGAACCAGATAATAACCATAGGAATGCTGGCACAGCGATTTCTGCTAGAATTGCAGTCCCCTGTGGGAGGCTGACAGCTCAGGATCCTGCTTTCACTGAGGTCTGTTGCCAGGAGAGCCAGGGGATGCTGCCCAGGGCCTGGAGCATCTGCCCTGTGCCCACCTTGTTCCAGGCTGTAATTGCTGGGAGAGACCCTCCTCACGTCCCTGTGCCTGTCAGCAGCCAAGGGGACCGGCCAGGGGACCTGGCAAGCATCACTGGAGCCCCAGGGATTTAAATAAAACACATCTAGGCCTCTGAATTGACAGCTCTCTTCTCCTCCTGGCTCCTTTCATCTCAAGGAAAGGAAGCCAATTTCCTTTGCAAAGTAATCTGAGCTCCAGGAGTTAAAAGTGCTGTTTAAAGAGCTCGGTGGTGATGCTGCCCAAGGAGCTTGCAGGCTGGAGAAAGCTCTCCGCCTCAGTCTGTAAAAACTAGGCTAATAGTGTTTTTCTGCCTCACACAAGCTGCTGAGAGTTAATTAATTTTAAAAGCGGTTTGAAACACAGTCACAACATAGGTGCTAAGTTTTATTTATTAATATTCCATATTCAAAATACAAGACTAATTACTTATGTGCATGGCAAAGGGTGCATTTCTGTGCTAGTAATTCAATTTTAATGGCTTAGGTGGTACTTGCATTGAGCTGTACTCAAAAAAAATGTTGCATTATGTAAAAATTGTGTGTAGGTCTCTCATTAAGTGTTATCTTTATTATGCTGGTTTAAAATTATTTCATGCTGAATTTGTCAAGACCAAACATCTGGCTTTTGCTGTAGCACACAGTGCTTCCCGAGCTGCCAGATCCCAGCCAGGAGGAAGGGGCTCAGGAGAAGTCCATGGAAGTGGAGGCGTGGGATGGAACCAAATTTGTTCCCCATGGTTTTGTTGCCAGGGACAAGAGGGCAGGAGGGCTTTGTGCCTGCTGTGGAGAGGGATGTGGAGCCCGTGTAGGTCTCTGACCTGGGGATGTAGAGATCTTCTCTGTGCACTGATAGGGATGCAGGGAAAAACACTCACCAGAGGGCTTTTCTCTCTGGCTACCACAGGGTCCTTGCTGGTGCTTTAACCCCTCTGCAGTTAGACCTTATCTTCAGCGCTCCAACAAGTTTACAAACAAGAGAAGGGTCTTGAAAACAGTTCTGTGTCAATGGTTTAGAGAAGACATCCCAGTTGTACATGCTATGAGACAGCAATTGTCTCTTCCTACATGTTCGAATATGATTTTTAGAGTGGCCTGGCTCTAAGTGGAGCCCCTGGATGTCCTGGTAGTGAATAAGATCCATGCTCCACTCTAGAGAAAAAAAACAAAAACAAAAGCCAAACAAACAAAAAACAAAAAAAAACCCAAAACAAATCAAAATAAAACAAAACAAAACAACCAAACTACATCTGAAAAAATCAGAAATTAAACTAAAAAAAAAAAATCTTGGAGTTTTTTTCTCTCTACTGAGTCTGATGAAGATGGAGAGGGTGCAGAAAACCCCCTGGGAAGTCCAGCTATGGTGAAATTTTAGCAATAAGGAGATACAGATGCACCCTCTAATGTATGGAAGAGATGTGAAGGAAGTCCTCTGCTCCAACTTATCTAGGAATTGCAGTAAACTCTGACACTTCCTAGTGCTTCAACCACAGGCACAGCAAGGATTTCAACTAGAGATGGTAGATACAGACAGCAGAAGTCACATTTGTTCCCCTCAGCTTTGAAGGTTGTCCAAACTGCAGCTCAGTGAGGTTGTCACCAGGCTTAAGGAAGCTCAAATGTAAATGCATTGGAAGTAAAATGCCTCGGTTTGGGTGATTTTTTACAGAGAAGCAAGTCACAGTGAAGAAAACTTGGTAATGCACAAAGTTCAAAGTTGGTCTTTGTATGAGAGCAAAAGAGCCATGTGAAGGGTGACTCAAAATTATAAGCAGAAATTGGAGATGTGCCCACTGTGATAGTCTGAGCTTGGCTCAGAGGTAGATAAAGAAGGAAAGTTAAAAATTAACTCCAAGTTTTGCACATTAAGAGATGTGTTGTATTTCCTTATGATGCAGTGTAACAAGAAAGAATAATTATTTAATGATTTCACATTTTTCTCAAAATGTATGAACCTGAGACTTGTGTGTTGACTGGATCTACATTTGCCTCACCCAAGCTTGCCAGTGCTTTTCTGAGAATTGCTGTTTTCCTCCAGATAAATTCATATTAATACTGGCTCTCCTTTATCTGTTCACAGGTTAGATTCTTGCTATCCTGGATGAAAATGCCACATGCTGATGGTATCCATTCCACCCTTTCCATTCTAACTGAAGTCTCCCATGGGCTCAAGGGGGCTACCACTGCCCAGTGTCCCCAGCAGCCCCTCTTTCAGTTCCTTGGTACCTGGGTTGGGATGGGGGATCTCCTTCCAAGGGACATGTTAAACTCTTCTTTCTTATGGGGTTATGTGCATTTTCCTTCTTGAAGTGATGTTTCCCCTTAAACCCATGATTTTTTAGACTTCCTTCCCACCTTTTATGCATATTGTGAGCTGGAAAATAAACCTTTAAGTGGCTTGAAGCTGCTGCTGGCTGTAAAGTAACTGGAGCTGACAGTGGGCTTGCACAAGCACAGAGCTGTAAATCAGGTAAATGTATTGCACATAATTTCCTGGTGCCTGCTCTCCTCAGGAGCAGAGCCCTGCTGGGATGAATGTCATCACAGCATGCAAACTCCTGCATTTGATGTTCCTTTTGTTTGCAGGGGCTCGCCTCTGCCAAGAATGGTACGTTCTGCCACAGGGTCACCAGCCACCTGACTTCTCTGTAGCCTTTCCCTCCTGCAGCCAAAGGTCTTGTGCTTCACCCCAGAAAATGCCCACTGGCATTTATTTTAGGTGTACAGGACGGGTGGGAACTCTCTCCTGAAGTGCTACTATCTTAAATGGGCAAATCCATGGGGAAAGAATCTCTGAGTGATTGAGGGCACTGTGCTTCTCTGTGTCCACTGGTAACTGGAGATTAAGGGTTTTTTTTTCACCTTGGAACTTGGAAGACCATTTTATTGCATTAGTTACACTAGTTATTAAGTAATTTCCACACCCTGCCTAGTGCCAGCAGCTGCCTGGAGCAATGGGTGGCACTGGTGGCTGTCACCAGAGAAGCAGTCATTACCATTCTCAGTAGTGCTGGGCTGGGAGCAGCCTGGCACCACTCCCTTGGATCATGGGCACTTCCCTTGCCATGCTTTTCTGTGGATCCAGTCCTATCTGGTTCCAAGAGCTGCCAGCAGATCTGGTTACCTCTGTAAGCACACAGCTTTTTTTTTTAACTATATTTTCCTTCTTTTTTTTTATAATTTTATTTCTGAACCCAGTGATATTATACAATTACAATGTATATTTATTTCTACTCTCGCTACTTCCTCTTGAAATTATGCAAGCTGTTTAAATCTCTCTGGCATTTTCATGGAAGGATGGGTTCTGCAGGGTGTGGGAGTGTGTGTAGCAGCCATATAATTTCCTGCCTCTGCTTTCCCCTGGGGAAGGGGAGCGAAACACCGGCACCACCTGCACATCTTGGGAGGCCCTAAGAACCTGGCACCCTGAAAATCAGCTGAGAGGGATGCAGCACCCCAAAGGCTGCTCTGAGGGACCTCAAAAGGGAGCTAATTGTTCTCTGTCCTTTTGGGCTCCAGAACTGGGACTGCTTGGCGGAGATTGCGACAGATTTGTGTCCTTGAGGAGCTGGCATGGGAACAGCTGGGGCACGCGAGGGAGCAGATAAAAGAAACACCTACTGCAGGTCAGCCTTCGCTCTGTGTATCTGGACCAAAAGCCTGATTCTTCCACAAACACTCGTTTCACAAAACACGGCAAACATTGCGTTAGGAAACACTGAAGAGAGCCACAAAAGTAATCTGGATGTAGATCTTGCACCTGCTGTGAAGTGCCCCTGCCTGGCCAGGGCTGGGTAAGGAGGTGAGGGCTGGTGGGCATCCCTTTATTATCTCCTGATGGAAAAGTGGCATCAGCCCCTGGACTGGCTGCCCTCAGCCTGCCTTCACCTGCCCTGTGGGAGAAAACTGCCCATTCCTGCCTGCTAGCTGGCCTCCCCCAGGAAAAAACCTCATTAAAAGTACACTGCTGGGATTTTTATAAGATTCCAGCTCTTTCAGCGATGAAGTTGTAAGGAAGTTGAAGTGCAGCTTGCTTAAGCTAACTCCCTGAGAAAAAAAGTTACCTGTGTGGCAAAAAAAGTTTCCAGATCTGGGCTCTTAGAGGTAGGCTCCAAAATCCCTTCTCATCCATGACCCAGGGCAGCCCTACCCAGTGCATCTATGGGGAGCAGAGCACAATTTGGGGAGCTCTGCTGGCACTGAGCCCACTGAGCCCTGAAGGTTTCCATTATTTCTGTCAGGCTGCTAAGAGTATTTCATTTCCTGTGCTGGAAATTAAGCTTGCAGCATGGAGTAAATGGAGGAGAGGCAAATTGAGGCACTTTCCTCCAAGCCTCACACCTTTGGGTGCTCTGGACATTAAATTAGTAATCCTTGGTGGGCTCCCTCACATCCATCCCAGTTTTCTCTCATGGTTGCCTAGATGAAAATAACAAGTGTGCTGGTGCTGGACTATCATTTCTCCTCAATAAAATGCTGATGAACCTCTACAAATTTACATCTTTTGGGCATGCCAGTGGGTTAGCAGCATAACAGGCCAGGAGGACGAGTAGCACTGAGATCCATGGCACATTTCACCCTATATCTTCTTTTCTTCCTCTAGAAATTCAGCTGCTGCCTTCAAAGTTTTTCATAACATTATCCAGGACAAATAGATACAAACAAATGATACTCTGGGGGCAAAAAATAAAATTTTAAAAAAATCCTAACTAGATTAGGGAAGCAGTTTTGCAAACTATTGAGCTTTTTGAACTTTTGAAGCTTTCCTTGACAGTGTGCAACAAGTCTTGTCTGCCCAGACAAGCAGAGAGATCCTTTTGGTCCCTGTGTTTCCAGTGCCAAACACAGCATTGCTGATGCTTCCAGGACACAGCAGGTGGGTGAGCTGGAAAGAAGATGTTTGGGGAGCATGAAGTGGATTTGGTGTGATTCAGTTTTTTCTTCTCTCTCAAACGTTTTGCATGAATAAAGCAAGTCTCTGTCTCAGCCTCCTCACAAGTGAGAGGGCTGGGGACAGAACAGGGCAAGGAGAAGGGAGGAGAAAAGTCAGAAAAATGGCGCTAAAGAGAAGAGGTCACTCCTCCTCCCTGCCTAAGTCCTCTCCAGAAAGTTCTCAAGGATGTCCAAAGGTCCCTGCCATGATTGCTGCTGTACCTCCTTCTGCTGACTGGCAAAGTCTTTTCTGTACTTTTGCCAAGCCACATTTGCAGAACAGAAGAGGGGCATTGTGTCTTCCCAATATCCCAATCCAGCAGGAGGCCAGGGCAAGAAGGGAAATTGCCACTTCTGGGTCTCTATTAACACTTTCCCCCAGCTTGCTTTTGGCTGCCTGTTTGTGGCACCTGCAGGTTTTAGTTATATATCATGATTCTCTACAAAGTATTTTAATATCCCAGTCTGGGCTGCATTTGTGGAGTAAATACCATCCATTCTAGAATACACAACATTCACTCACTGATGCATTGCACAGCTTTTGGTACAAACAATTTCCATTTGGTCTCCCCTCACACTGCACAGTTTTAAAACAGGTAAACTGGAACTGGATGTGTGTGTGTGTGTGTGTGTGTGTGTGTGTGTGTGTGTGAAGTGAGCAGGGCTCTGATTAACACGGGATGGGATGTAATTCCATGAGGAGCAGGCCCCCAGTGCTCTGCAAGGGGGTGCAAGCCCACTGAGCTCCAAGAGCCTCAATCCAGCAGTGTGGAGGTGGATTGAAGTGGGGCTCACAGGAATTGCTGTGGGGTGACAGGGTTGTTTGGGGTGCAGGCTGGGCACTGCCAGCTGCTGGCACAGCCTGGCACTGTCACTCCTCTCCAGGTGTCCTGGGCAGAGGAAGAGGCAGGCTGGGACCAAAGTGCCTGAGGAAGGGAGACTTTCCCCCAGAGTGTGTGTTGGTCTGTAAAAGGTCAGTGAATGGCAGCACCCTCTGCCCCTCCTGGCTGCCCCGTGCCCTGTGGACATCTAAAGCTCCCATGGCTGAGTGCAGATCTCCCTAATTCCTGCTGTCCCTTGCAGGACTGTGAGGAGTTTCTCCTTGTCTGCAGCAGGCTCACCACCTGGGAGCTCCCCTCTCTGCCTCTGCAGAATGCATTTCTTCCTCCAGACAGCTAAAGCAGGCTGGCTTTGGGGCTGTCAGGCTGCTGCCCCACACCCAGCCCCACAAGTACCTTGGTGAGGAGGGGTCCTCTGCCTGACCTCCAGCACTGTCCCCTGGCTGATGGCTGTCAGATGGGAATAGAGCTGGGTGCAATGCTGCTGGTTGCCAGCCCACCTGGAGACAGCTCTGTTTGTGTCTTATCTGTAATGGTTAATCATTACACTTTATATGCATCCCCCTGGCATGCACTTACTCCTTCTGGAAATGAGTTGAGTCTCCTGAGACTGAGTAATGGTAAAAAGGAAGAAAAACTCCAAGAAGCTGAGCTGAGCATCTCTCATGCCATCTCTGTATGCCCAGACCTTGGGTATTTCTGAAGATGCTGAGTCCCTGTGCTGCAGCAGGGCCAGGGAGGAGGCTGAGCACATCAGAAATGGAGCGACTTTCCAGAGTGTGACTCCTTGGGCAGGGACTGATGGGGAAGGCACCACATCCTCCCTCCAAGGCTCAGAGATGCTGGGCAGCTCCTCTAACACTGATCTGGTGGGGGCAAGATGGAGTTTCAGGTCTCACTAGAGGTGTTACTTTTAACCAGCTCATGTATTTAGAAAGGGGAGAATTCTGTCTAGCAGCCATCAGTGCCTGGCTTAGGGCCAGATGAAGAATAAGGAAAAGATTTTTTTATAGTGGGGGTGGTAAAACTCTGGAACAGGTTGCCCAGAGAGGTGGTGGATGCCCCATTCCTGGAAACATTCAAGGCCAAGTTGGAGGGACTCTGAGTAACCTTATCTAATGGAAGAGGCCCCTACTCATTGCAGGGAGTTGGACTAGATGGCCTTTAAATGTCCAGTTCAATCCAAACCATTCTATGATTTAATGATCTTGTGATAGGGTCTCTTCTTGGGGCTCCCCAGCCTTCTCCTGCAAGGTTTCACTGAGCAAACCTGGGTCCTGCATGGTCCATCCTCAGCTCCACAATGCAACAGCTGCTCCAGCCAGTGTGCAAAGCTGCTGAAAACATGCAAATGCCCATTTTTGTCCAGCTTCTTTGAGGAGCCCTGTGAAATTGAGGAGGAAGGTGCTGGGTCCGTGGATACCTGCTGGATACCTGGTAGTTGTGCTGCTGGGAGTTTGAGCTCCTGCTGGGGAGCTTTGAAGGAGACACCTCCAGCTCCAGGACAAATACAAGTTAACAGCAAAGGGGAAAAGAGTTGTTTCAGGCAAGGTGAGAAGATTTAAAATGTAGAAAACACTTAAGGGTTTGAGCACAGTACCACACAGCAAAAAACATGGATGAAGGGATCACAGGAGAAATCATTACAGGGAAAATTGATAATATGGTGTGAAACAGTCCCATGAATTCCCAGTCCCAAACTCCCCAATCTTGAGCCTGGTTTAATAATCACAGCTTAACTGTAAAGTAGGAGAAGGGCTTTTTCTCTGCACTGTGGGATGTTCCATAGGACTTTGGAAATCAGTTATGTTATATTTTCAAGATTATCAAGTCTATAAAGAGTTTTAAAATGTTTGAAGATGATCAAGTAGGAAGGATTTGTGAAGAATACTTGTTTTAAGGAAAAAGCTTAGTACGGCTAAAAACTTGGGAGCTAAGAAGTTCAAACACTTTCAAACTTTTCTTCTTGCTAAAAATATCATCCTCCAGCTTGGGCCACAGCTTGAGTACTGGATCCAACACCTGCAAGTGGTTTCAGTTGTCTTCCTCTTTTTTAAAACTCTTTTTGTTGCTTTTTAATGTGCTGGTGGATTCTGACCTAGAGGCATTACTTTACTGTGATGAACCAAATACATTCAAAATCATGTGTAATAAACCTGTATGTAAAAGATGCCGTGTGGATATTTTCACTGCCTGTTGGGGTGTTATTTGGCATTCTGATAGATTTGATCTGTGCTTGTACCTCTTTCATTTCCATTTATTTATCTAATTATTGATTTTTAAACATTCTCAATACACAGTAATGAGATTTACTCTTTCAGTTAGAAGCAAAGGTCATTTCACAGGACCAAGGTGGAGTTATTCTGCTATTTGTGAAAATGCCAGTCAGAAACCTCATACAATATTTTTTACAGAATGTGTATTTTCTTGACAAAAAGTTATTTCAAAATGCTCTAAAACATTCCAAGATAAGAGTTAAAGCAAACCTATTTCAAAGCAATGAGGAAAAATGAGTAAAGTGATCAAAAGAAGGCTGAAATGTCCATAAACTCACACATCTTCTGGAGTGGGTGCTTTAGCTGGCATAACAAGTGCCACAGACCTTTTGATGAAAGCCTGAGATCTGGCTGTGTGACAGCTAACAAATGAAAACATGCAAAAACCTGTTTTCAACCAGGGAAAGTTTTACCTTTAATTGAAACCAGCAAAAGAGGAAAACTGTGACCCCGGCCATGCAGATCCTGGGCTGGGAACAGGATAATCAGCCTGCAGGATACAATTCCCAGGGCTGTGGGTCTGGCCACTCTTCTCCTCAGGACAGAGAGGGACAAAAGTCCTTGCAGAGGATGCTGTGGTGGTGGTGGGCCATGTTCCAGAGGCCAGAGGAGGCCTCTGGAGAAGTCTGGCATGCTCCTGTTTGCAGGAGTTGCCCTGGGATGGGCCACTAGCTAGCTGACCCAAAACTGGGAATGGGAAGTAAATCTCTTTGAAGAGCTTTTTTTCCTTGGGAAGAGGGAAGACTGTGCTTTTAGGGAAAGCCACCTGGTGCCCTGTTTTGTCTCCCTTTCCAGGTGGGCTCAGGGAACCAGGGGAGCAGGCACATTTCCTGTGAGAGAGCTGAGCCCTGCTCAGGTGTCCCCAGCCCTCTGCATGTGGCTGTACACCTGCAGAGAATTGCCACCTTCCCTCTGGGGTTACAGAGTGGAAGCATTTAAACTCCTGCTCGCTTCAGGGGCAGCTTTTTTGGGCAAATACCAGCATGGATAACAGATTGCCACTAATACATGAAGGCTGGGGCTGGGGTGGGGAGAACTGTGCAGGAATTTTCCGGGAAGATTGTGTGTACTGCAGCTGAGTTTTATTCATTAGCTGGATTTTTAACCAACTTCAGTTTAACCAGATTAACAGTGACTTCAAATCCACTGAGAAAGGAGTGGGGAAAGCACAACAAAAAACCAGGGAAACAACGCCCTTTATTACATATTGACAAAAGACAAAGCTTTGCTGCTCAGGGAAAATTAAGTGGTGTTAAAAATGGTGAAATTCAGGTGTGAAACACTTCAGATTTTGGACAAAGCCTACTGCTGAAGTCAGCAATGTAGGGAAGCACAGGAGTGTGACAGAAACTTCCCCACACCTGCAGTACCCCTGGCAGGTAAGGACAGGGGAATGTTGTGTGCCCTGGATAAGAGGGTTGTGACTCAGAACAAGTGGCTTTTATTCTCCCTTCTCTGTTTAATGTGCTCCTTACTCCTGGACCATGTCAACAAACTTCCTTCTTTACTTTTCAATCAATGGCCTGAACTCCATGGAGTGTTGTGATACTTAAAGCAGCTGGACAAAGTGGCTGAAATATATTATCTACCTGCAAAGTGCTCAGGCTTTTTCTAAGATAATAAAAGTGACTGGGAAAACTGGGTGCCCAGAGCACTGAGGAATGATGACAGAGTTAATGATGGCCATATGGAGAGCCAAATAGGAGCAAACCCCACTTTATTACCATTGGGAGTGCAGATATAAAGTTTCTGGGGCGGGTGGGAAGGTGCTGTGGGTGTTTCCAGAGATTCTCAGTAGAAATAAATGCTTTTGTGGTGAAACAAAAATTCTGGGTGAAAGCAAAAATGCAAAAATAAATTTCCGCACCTCTGCTGAGTATGAAGAAGGCTGAAGTGTGCTCCTGTGCAGAAGGCAAGCAGAAACCTGAGTACTGTTCAGGTCAGGCTGTAAATCCACTGAAGCCAGGGGTTATTCACAGGCGTTGCAGGGCTAACAGCACATCCTGTTGTAAAACTGAACTTTAGCTTTTACTCATTTCTCAGCAACTGTTCTGGATATTGGCCATTTCTCAATATCCTCTTAAGTATTTTGTCTTGGAATAGAAATCTGGAGATCATTTCCATGTATCTAAATATTTATCCTGAGACTTTTCAATGATTAATGTGCATTTAATCCCCTACCTGTGTGACTGAACATGAAAATGCAAATATCTTAGTGACTAATTATATCCTTGAAATCTGGTTCTCTTTTTTCCTTTTTTGGTCCCCTGACTATTTTAGTTTAGTTCTCCAAAGCAAATCTCTGTTATCCTGGCATTCCCTGCCAGCCCTATCACCCCTTCCAGCTGAAGGAATGCTCAGGCCCTTGGATGTGGGCTGACCAAGAGCCAATCCAATCCCCCAGTGTAAAATTTCTCCCCTGAATGAGTCACTGGGCAGGGAGCTCAGCAGTGTTTGTTTTCCCTGCCCTGCACGATAAGGGACGATGAGTGCTGCAAATCCTGAGGCCTCTAATGCAATTTAAAACTGCTCGTAACAAAGAACAGAGAATAAATAATACGAAATTTCATTTCGGTGCACTAAAGGGAGAAGGTGCCATCTGTTCCTCACGTTGTTGTTAATGAATATGCAGAAGAGACAGCCCAGTCACGAGTGGCACTGTGTTGCTGCAGGAGCAGCAGCCAGACCAGCCCCCAGAGGGAATTTCTTACAGCACAGCATCCAGCTATGGACACATCCCTGGTCTGGACTCCCAGGAAAGGGACTCACTGCCAGGCAGACCCTGAGTTAGGACCTGTTGCTAAAGGACACAAAATGATTCACACAAATGTTTTGCAGTGTTAGAACAGGAAAAGGCCACTTTATTCTCTGACTGCAGTATTTATAGATTCTCGCCAATGACCAGGGGTTGGATAATTAAGTTACCACCTTCGCAATCACACTGGTCATGCCAAACGTCCATCAAAAGATGTTTCTTAGGAGGAATGTGATAAACAGCTTATGTTTATAGAACTTTCATGGGAAAGCAACTAAAACTATGAAAACATTATCAGAAGGGTTTAATTTTCAGGGTGACAAGGACCTGCATTTGCCTCAGTGACAAGAAACAGCTTTAAACTGGGAAGAGATGGAGGAGAAACCCATTTATGCAGCCAAACTCTCCCAGCAGGAACTAAAATGCTACAAACTTGGAGAGTGTCTGGAAAAGGCTCAGCCACGATCAAGGGCTACACACAAGCATTTGGGAGCAGAAAAAGAGCTCTTCTGCCCCTTGCAATAAACACCACGTTCCTAATGATTTGCAGTTAACTCAGCTGTGAAAATCCATGGCAGAAGCTTTGGCATGGGGTGTGTTATGTCAACAGGAAACTGAGGAGAGGGATCTACATCTTTCTGCATGTGCAGGCAAGGGAAGAATGGTTGGCAAAGGTTTTCCAGCTGCAGAAATTCCCTCATGATTTTAGGAGCAAAGTCTTTTGTGAGATTGTGTTATAAGGAAAGTTTGGACTGAGACCTTCTGGAAGAGATTAAAGGAAGGCATGGAATTACTGCATGACAAAGAATGAAAGCTTGTCAAGAAAGAGAGGTAAATCACAGAGGGAGGAGGACAGTGCCTTGACAGAAGGGACAAAGTAAAAAATCAAGATGCTGCAGGTAAGGGCTTGACACGAGGGGGTCATGTGAAGTTCAAAGTCAGACTCACAAAAGTTGGCATGTGAAGAGGCACAGCCTGTGACAGCCAGCATAAACTAACCCCTGTGCAGGTAAAGGTTGTACAAAAATCTAATGCATTGCATTGCTGTGCAGAAGAATTGGTAAGAACCTGTGGACCATGCATAGCCTGGACAGAGAAAGGGAAATGTGCTCCTACCCCTAGTCCTGCAGAGAAGCAAAACCAGTGCAGGCTGGCAGGATGAACCAGCCATCTAAAGACAGAGGAATACCTGTGGATCCCAAGCTGGACACATGCAAGAGCAGTGCAGACAAACTGTAGTGCACAAAAAATTCCAATTTCCAGTGACTGCAGGCAGAAATGCTCTTTGAGTTACCATGCTCTCACACCTCTGCTCCCATCAGCAGGATGCTTTTGTGCTGGGCCAGAGCAATGAAGGAGGGATCAGAGGGATGTCCTCCATGGGATAGGAGTGCTCTGAACACAAAGAAGAGATAACTCATGCAGCAGGGCTTTTCAGGGTCTCCTGACACGCAGTGCTGACCAAGAGAAGTTCAGAATGTGAAGCAGAGTCCTTGATTCTGGGTATTTTCTGAAGCACAGGGTGTAAGCCTTTTCCCTCTGCACACCAAACCTGCAGCTCTGCCTTCAGGAAGAGGCTTGTCCCCCGGGATGACTGGGCAGCATCTTGTGCTGCAATTAAACCTCCAATGGAAAAATGGAAATGGAAGAGGGTCACCTCTGAGCAGCCCACTGCCATCCCTCACAATGACAGAGGTTTCCTTTCTCCCCCAGCAATCCTGGGGTGTGTTTGTGGCAGCACCCTCTGCTCCTCACACCAGCCCTTCTCTCTGTCTTCCAGGCAGCTGGTCTGACACGAGCAGCTTCCCATGAACAGAGATTATTTTTTCATCAATATCAGATTCCCAGAGATTTTTTTCCCCCCCAAGGCTGTTTGTTTTCTAAAATGCTTACTCTAAAAATGCATGTCTCCTTAATTTATTGATCCACTAGAGAAAACTGCATCATGTCTGAAACGTTTTAATAAGGATCCAAAGCAAGGGATGATCAAATAAATGATAATTACAGTGTCAGAGAGGCATTCCCAGATCCCCCATGCTCCTCAGATGTCAGTGTGCTGCAATAACCGAGCAGGAGCAGGAGGTGGGTGTTGAAAGCCCACCTGAAGCTCCTGATAGCCA